AGGAAAGCCAGAACAAATGCCAGAAGACCAATCAGGTGTCAGACATTCAAGTATAAGAAGATGGCTGTTTGGCCAGGCTGGAAGGGGCAGAAGTTGAGAGAAGCCGTATGTAGGATTATAATCAACAAGATACGGTATTAGATTAAATATGGGGGATAAGACAAGATATCAATTAGTTCATTGATTCGTTCATTTATTTATTCAACAACCAAGTGCCAGGAATCATTCTTGTTTAGTAGGCTGATATCAGAGTGGATGTTCAAGGCTCAGTTTTTTACTTTTTCACTTTCACATATTTAGTAAAACTATGAACGAAGACACAGAAAACATGCTTCTGCTTTCAAATGTGCAGATGGCCCAAAAATGAGCCAGGCAGCTACTGGTCAGTTGGTCAGCTGAATTAATAATCATGAATCCTGAAAAGAGAGTCTGATGCTAATATGATGAATCTCATAATCCATAAAAGCATAAAGAACTTAAGTTTTAAAATAACCACTGTGAACTAGAATAGCTTATCCATAGTCAATGTAAAAAATCACATAAATGTTAGTGTGGCATGGCTAACAAAAAATTAATTCTAATCTTAGTGGAGAATGTGGTTGCTATACTCTGTGCTTATCAGACCACATTGCTTGTGGTATCACGTTCAGTGAGGTTGGTTATACATGAATGACAATGACAAATCAGAGTTTTTTAAGAGAAGCAGCAGCAAATTCTCTAGAGAATAATGAAAGTGTGTCAAATGAGGAACAGTCAAAAGAACCAGGGGCAATAAACTTGAAGAGAAACCTGCGAGCACATGACAGCTGTCTGCAAATATTTAAAGGCCCTCTGTGGGACACGTATATTGTTGCTGGAGGGCAAGTAGTTCCAATAACTGGAAGCCACGGGGATCCAAATTTCAGTTTCAGCTAAGGGAGAACTTTGAATAGAGTGCTACGATCAAAGACTGGATGTTCTTGCGAGATAATGAGTTCCTCATCGCCAGCAAAAGTGGAGTAACAATGTTTGGAGACATGTCAGGAGGAATTATTGAGTTGGGTGGGTGGTTGAATTCTATAACTTTTAAGTTTCCTTTAGGGTTCTCTTTACATTCCAAGAAAGAAGCAAAAATAAAGGAGAAAACCTGGACACACCACCTTTCTCTGCCCCCTTCCTCCGCCCCAGAGTCCATTTCTCTAATTTTTAGCATAGTATACAATAAGGTGCATTTACAGGATCCACCTGTCTATAGAGGATCTGCTGAGCTGACTACACGTGGCCCAGGACCTCAGAAGAGATGAAGAAATTGCAAGCAACCCTATAGCTCAGAGGATGGGATGAAGTTCTAAAAGTAGGTCAGACTTGGTCTCAGATTTGTAACCTGGTGACAGAACATGGTGAGGTCAGCATAATGACAATTGCAGGAGAGTCAATTTCTGTTAGAGCAGAGGAGGCTTTTACCCAGAATTAGTTACAGCTGAGTCCATTCATTCTGATACTCTCACTCCGGAGAATGGCTTACATGGCTTAACAGAATATTATAGAGAATTGCTGTTTTCATATTAGCATTTGTCGATTTCTTAGAATTCAATGTAGTGACCTTCTGCTTCTGTCCTTAAAACGCTTTTAAGCTTACAACAATTCTCTATGACAGCCCTTCAAGCAAATTCTTAAAGAGGTATAACCCTGCATCCCAGGCATCCAGTTGCTTTGTCTCCAAGAACTACTGCCTCCTGATGAATCACTTTTAAATGTTAGATTGAATTCCACTGGATAAATGTTTTGGCCATACTCTTGATATACACATGTATAAGAACAGAGGCATCACTCTATGTTTAATGTTTCTTATTGGTATAATAGTCTTTGGCAACTTTCTAAATCACAGATAAATAGGATCTGTAATCTATAAGGACACATGGAAATGGAGGCATGGTCATGGCCTTTTGTAGGATACTAAGAAAAGCTGACTGGACTGGAAGAGAGGTTGCCTTTGGACAATAGAGGGACATTAGCTTCTATAAATAGGGTAGGATAGCTTAATGGGACCTAGACAATGAGAAAATGAGTTTTTATTTGATTTTATATAGAATTAGGAGTTTGGGAATAGAACAATTATATAATGAAAGTTTAAAGAAAACTATCAGAAGCCTATCAGAAGCCTGAGAAAAGAAGTGAGGACTGACAGCAGAGTGCTCAAGAATGCCAGTGTTAACGGCTCATGGACTTGACATGGAGAGGCTGAACCAGCCTCAGACAGTAGACCTATACAAAAGAGAGGAGCATTGGTGATACCTTAATGAAAACATGAACACTTGCCGGTGTCTGGTAGATATGAGAGATGACTGGCTATAAATCCATGTCATCGATCCCAAGTTCTGCTTTCCTTGTGCTCCCCCACCAGCCACGTCTCCTTCTAGCTCAGGCTGGATCAGATGTCTGACTTGGTTTCCGATCTCTTCTTGGAGAAAGTCCTCTTGAGCCCCCATTTTCAGAGAAGTTTTCTACTTAACACTGTCTTCCTTTCATTAGCTGTCTTTTCCCTCACCCATTTGGGAAGATGGTATTTCCACATGGACATGAGGGTATAGGCACAAAGAGGTATTTGGTACCAAGAAGACATGTCAATGCAGAACCCTAAGGAGCAGAGGAAGCTTTTATTCACTCCCCAATATTGTAAGAACTAAAGGTTAAAATTAAGAGTCCATTTTCCTCACACAATCAGAAGAAGGAGCACAGCATGGAAATAGCATTCATCTTTTCTCATCTCCCAGTAGCAAGTCTGTATGCAAGACAGATGCCCCGCTCTCCTAGGCATATCTAGAATCAGACCTTTCTGGGTCAAGGAGTAGCATGTCTTTTCAAATTGGCAATGGCTTTGAAAACCACTTCTTCCATTTTGCCAAAAAGTGCCTATAGGTAAGCATTATGCAAAGTTTTATAGGTGCTCTGAGTCCATGCACATCTAGTCAAGTGCTCTACATGCCAAGAACAAAAGCCACAGACAGAACTCACTAAAAGGCAGCCATGCAAACTTTGGCCCCTGAAGAAAGCCCCTTCCTGTTCTCTCAGGACCAGAATTCTGGCCAAAGAGAGATTTCAAAGGCACAATCTGAGAGGTGTCCTCCTCTCTCCATTTCAAGTTACCAGCCCTATTCTGGTGATTGGAATTCCCAAATTACTCATTCTATGGGTTAAGGCGTTTTTTAAAACCCCTGTTAAAATGTGAGTGCTAGCTGGGAGGGGGAAATGAGTTTTTGTTTTTTAGCCATTCAAAGTTAAGTTCAAGTTACTTTATCTAAGTAGGAAATGGAACTCAGAGAGTAATCAGACTCACAAAAAGAGAGAGAAGAAAATGGGGCCTTTCTCATCTTGATGGGAGATGAAAAGCACAGAGGACACTTTTCTTCTTAACAATTCAAAAATCTCAGCTATTTCCCAAACCTCAGCCTGAGTATATGCCAAGGTACAGTTAAAAAATAAGTCTGTATATAAGAATAAAGAGGAAGATAAGGGTCCAATAAAGGTTGTGTGCTCAGCCTATGGACATTCTCCTTTCCTAACTCCCCAAGACTTTTATCTGTCTGACCATAAAAGGCTAATTGTCAACCTTTGCTTTGACTCTGGATAACCACCCACCACCCTCCCCACTCTTTCCCTCACCTTTTTGCTAGTTTCAGACACCATTGGTTCTAGTTCTGTCTCTTCATAGCTTTGATCTCCTGGCCCAAAGACCGCTAAATTCACTCCCATGTCTCTCTGGTATTTGATTTTCTCCTAAAGAACCTGGCTTGGCTCACCTTTTCACCTTTCATGTTCTCCACCTCTCCTTCCCATTCCCACTCCCACTCCACCAAGAAGGGACATCTGACCTCCAGGGATATCAGAGTAACCAAATATCAAACTCAAAGACATAGTTATTAAACCATGAGCACAACCACAAAGACTTATTTCCTTCTCTTCAAAGCGCAGTTGCTACGCATTTATTTTTTAGGCTAGAAGCTTCAAGAATATACGGACTATGTCTTTTATGCACCTGGGACATAGTAAGCACTCAGTATACATATTTACAGACACAAATGAAGAGAGAATTAAAAAATTTAAAAAGCTCCCCTGATATACAGGACAGCTCGTGTAAATAGCATTAATGGTGTCTGCAGAAGACATCTTATAGAACTGTGAACTTGTGCACATAATTAAACAGACTCACTTAAGTTCCGAGCCTTAGTCCCAAGACTGAGGTTACAGGTCAAAGAAGCAGGTCATCTCCTTAGTTATAAAAATGTGAGAGGAGTGGGAAGTTCCCTCGGCCCCAAATTACTTTCACCTGTCTCTCCAGAACCTTAAATAACTATTAATGGAGGCATTATTTTAAGCCTATTTGCAAATGCAAATGTGTTCATGGTATGCAGAACACAGTAAACCACTGCCTCGGCTCTTTTTTTTTTTGCCCAGACTATTTCCTATTTCTTTCTAAATGAGCTATTGGGGTCTCTGATGCCAGGAGGGGCCAGTATTGGGTTGGGGCACTGGGATGGGAAGAAGAAATGGGGAACGGTTTCTGGACTAAAGAAGAAAGCAGATGCCACCACGGAGGCTGTGGGTTTTACTGACTCCTCACCATCACCACCACCACCACTGGCTTCCCACCGGCGCAAAGGGCTCAGACCAATATCCTTGGATAGTTTCTCCTGAAGCAGAGCTGCTTGGAGCCCCAGCACTCTGGGGCCGAGGGAGGGTATCAGTGGCTTAAGTGGCCCCTTCTATTTCCTGCCTGTTCGGTTGCTAAGCTCATCAAAGCAAACAAAGGAATCTGGCTGAACCACAGTTTTGTAATGCCCTGCCTTGTAGATAGCCAGCCTGAGAATCAAGCCTCATGGCCAATGGTTTTAAGCATGTACTCCGCACCCCTTCTGACCCTCTCTCTTGCTAGCCACCAGCCCGACCACTGAACATCTGCCCCAGATGCACCTTCACCCCACACCGTGCTCCCCAGGCACAGGAGATTCATTAGAACATACCTGGCATAAACGCCCATCCACCGTAGCCGCCGGAGACCAGCTGTGTAAGCCCAGTGGCATTCCCGAGGAACACCGCAGCAAGGCATCAAGAATAAATGAAGAGGAGCCACAGTGAGCCACCCATTTTCCCCCAACACTCCGTGGAGAGAGAAATAGGAGGACCGAGGCCAGAACTCAAATGCAAAAAGGGGAACTGACTAGAGAGAAATAACACCCAAAAGGGCTGGGCTCTGACTCCCGTTAAGATTGACAGGTGGGCATTTCCACTGATTGTGATGACTACGAATGACTCTCAGAGAGTGAGTGTAAAGCCCTGAGGAAAACCCCCAAAGACAGCCCCGGCCACAAACATGAGAAAGGCACATTCCCTAAAAGAGTAACAGATCCAGGCGTGCAGCCTTTACCAACAAGGTAAAGATTCGGTTCAGTTCAACATATGTCTTACCGGGCAGCCATGTGTTACCACGCACCGTGTCTGGAGTGGAAGGACTTCAAGACCAGAGAGAGCAAGGAGACCAGGCGTTCCACCTGCCTCCTTCTCCCCAAATCACTCATGGAGGACCTACCTCTCCATGGATCCTGCTAGAAGCCAATAATACACACAGCCCCTACTTTCACATTATCCTAATCTAATCCTAGATGTCCTAATGTAGAAGGTTTCTGTTGCCTTGGTCTACTATTCCTAGAAATGAGCGGTACGCTTGTGGACTGGGAACAAGTCCAAGTGGAAGTGTGAAATGGATGTGAATGCCCAGTGAATTTTCCCAAGCCTAGTACTTCAGCAGGGACAGGCTTTACAAATTCAATCCTGCTCACACATTCATGGCTTCTTTTTCTGACCTTGTCAGGCCCCTGCAAAGTTTCCTGCTCAAGGTGGGAGACATTTATGTGCCTTTGAGTCTGCAGCATTTGAGCTCAGGAGAGAGGCAGCCCTCTCCCAGCCCATCTCCCCACTCTCTTGGAGGCTGGCCAGGGCCTGCATGGCTGGAGAAATTAAGAGACGAAGTGAAAGCTGTTGCTGTCTGGGTTGAGGACGCTCACTCAAGCAAGGATGTGTGGTGCAGGGGAGGCGGTGCAGGCTTGGAACTGGTGGTCCACAGTCACATCCTGGCTAGACCATGGCATTCTGGGCAAATGACTGAGCATTTCCAGATCTCAGTCCTCCCACCTGTGAAATGCAACAGCTTCCTTGCTGCATTGTTGTGCAAAACAAATGAGATTTGCAAGTAAGTCACCTGGCACAGAGCATGCCATGCAGGTTGTTTAGTCTTCATGATTACTTTCCTACCTTCTTTGTGGACTTTCCAATTTTAACTTTGAACTTTCCGCAAAGATCTTCCCTCTATCACTGGAAAGGTGATGATCATTCTTCCCCAAACAGGTCTGTAAACCCCTTCACCTTCCACACAGGGCCTCTCCAACCCAAACGACTCCTGTGTGGGTCCTGGGCCCTGACTCACAGGTCATCACTTCCTCTCAGCCAGTCTATGTGCATACCTTGGAAACTTCATCCTTTATTCTAGTAGCTCCACCTGGGGTTTTCCTCTGGATTTTACAATCATATCATTTTTTTTTTTTTAATCTGCAAGGGTCCATTGGTTTCTTTTTGTAACACACGAAATAACCCACGCCATCAGAGCACAGGATAATTAATTCACATTCTACTTAGTTTTTCACTTTTCTTCTTTTCCTGGTATTCAGCAGTCAAAACACAAGATAGGCTAATTTTGGTATCAAAATATTTGGAATGGTATTTCCCAAACTATACTCCTTTTAGCTACTAGTACCACTTTATAGCCATGTAAAATCTGTGTCATTTGTTATACAATATTTTTCTCTTAACTCTAAGTAAATTTATTTTAAACAGTATCTTTATGTGAATACTAAAACTTTTTTTTTTTCCAAAGCAATACCATTTGCCATAAATAAAGGATGGGTAAAAATAACACTTCACCTTGGGCTTTAGAATCACAGAGATCTGTGTTCAAACCCTAGCTGCACTAGTTAATGCCTATGTGTTCTGGGGGAAGTTACTTAGTTCCTCTGAGCTTTAGTTTTCTCACAGAAGTAATACTATCTCACGAGTTTGTGGTGAAGATTAAAGAGGATGACACACATATGGTACTTAGCACAGATCCAGCATATAGTAAGTTCTTTAAAAACAAAACAAAAAAACAAAAACAAAAAACTGTTTTATTGTTTTTTTCCATGACCCTCCCTTCATCTACTTATTTCATTTCTTCTTAGAGCAGCTCTCCCTCAATATTGTGAGCCAGGCAGCAGAAATAAAGAAGGAGATGGTGTCATGGAATTCTCTTATTCGAAGACAGAGTTGCAAGGTATTTAAGGAATCTCAGAAATCATTCCAGTCTCTCACTAAAGCAAGGACCCCCTGATGTCATCTCTGATAGATGGGTAGGCTTTGTTTTCTCACTTATGTTGGAAAAACTCACTACCTGGTAAAACAGTTATGAAAGAAAAGTCTAACTTCCAATAACCCCCAATCTCCCAGCCCCCACTCCTCAACCCCGTAAGTACCATCCAGTTGTCCCTGTCATGTTTTCTGGAATTATAAGAATATGTATATCGCTGGGACCAGTTTGGCTCAGTGGATAGAGCATTGGCCTGCGGACTGAAGGGTCCTGGGTTCGATTCCAGTCAAGGGCATGTACCTTGGTTGCTGGCACATCCCCGGTGGGAGGTGTGCAAGAGACAGCTGATCGATGTTTCTTTCTCATCCATGTTTCTAGCTCTCTATCCCTCTCTCTTCCTCTCTGTGAAAAATAAAATATTTATATATATATATATATATATATATATATATATATATATATATATATATATATATAAATTTCTCCCTTTATATAAAACACTCCAAATACTGGAAAGCAGATTTTATAAGTTTCCTTAATACTCTCTTCTCTCAACTAGATTTTATTAGTGTCCTCAACTGTTCCTCATTTGATGTGGTCTCTAGACCTAATTAACTTGACAGCTCTCCCTCTGGCACCCAGGGCCACTGAATTTGTCAACATACCTCTTTGCAGAGGGGCTCACAGGATGGAATGGGCAATGACAAGATTACTTTCATTCATGGGTCAGAAATCAAATTTACCTGTAAACACTTGCATTGGGAAAGTGGCTGGCCATAATTTTTAAAAAATATATATTTTATTGATTTTTTTACAGAGAGAAAGAGATAGAGAATTAGAAACATTGATGAGAGAGAAACATAGATCAGCTGCCTCCCATACCCTCCCTACTGGGTATGTGCATGCAACCAAGGTACATGCCCTTGACTGGAATCGAACCTGGGACCCTGAGCCCTCAGGCCGAGCTCTATCCACTGAGCCAAACCGGTCAGGGCTGGCCATGATTTTTTTAAAAGAAAAATTTTAATGTCAAATCAGATCACTACCCCTTTGGCCTCATTTTGTTTGTGTGTCAGGGTTTGGGGCCAATGAAAATAACTCTGAATCTCCCACATGTCATCCACTGTATTTGCCATTTCTCTGAGTTTTGTGCCACTCCAAAATCTGAGAAGGAGGCCTTACCCAAGAGTTATAAGAGCCAAACACAGAGAAGTTTCGACTGTGATAGTGGCCAAACAGTGGTCAGCAATATCAAGTACTGAGAGGAGGTATGGAAGAATAAAGATTAATTCTTTGTGTTTAGAGAGAAGGAAGTTGCTGGTAACCTCAGAAAGCTGCTTTCTGTGTGGGGCTGCTTCCTCCAGTGCCTCACTCCCGGATGCTCTCAGTCTGAGGAAGCCAAAGCTAAGCATCAGGAAGGGAGTGGCTACAGATAGCAGTGGGGCAGGAGAAACAGACACTTTCCTGGTGTATCAGGTCAACACTGCCCACAAGAGAGGTCCCTAGGACCATCTAGTTAGGATCCACTCTGTGAGGCAAAGCTGGAAGCTTCAGAAACATCTAAACACTTACCTGAAAGTTTCCATTCCAGCCATGTGTTTGTTGCTCTCTGTAAGTGGCTTCCTGTGGTCAAGAGGCCATCTAAAACTATGCCAGGTGGTGGGGGTGCCAGTATAGGATAAAATAGTCTCCACAAATAATTGCAGCAACATTATTGACTGAAACACTATTAATTAGTGTTTGTTTTCTGAGTTTTCTTGACACAGGGGTTTTGGTGGGGGAGAAAATAGAAGAAACCTATATCAAAGGTACTTCTGAACTCTTGAGAACACCCAGGGAATACAGGTACCCTAGAAGGTGAGAGAAAGAGACAGAGTGCTTTTGATATGCAAGAGGAAGGGAGGGAAGGGCACAGATGTGAGGATACTGCCAACTGTGGGACCAGGCATCCTGTCTCAGTGATCCCAAGGGGATAACAACTTCAGGGGTGATGGCTCATTCCCACAAAGGAGGTGCCCTTGGCTCAGGGGGCCCAGCCTAGCAGATAATGTCGTCCCCCACTGTGGCATGGAGACAGACAGCTGCCAGACTTCACAGACCACTATGGACTAGGTAGTGATGTTACCAATCACAACCAAGACAGACAGAGGAGTTGAGGTCCTTCCACCACTTTCTAGGCACACTGGGTAAGCTTCCTGAATTCTGACTGGGCTGAAAGAGGGATAGGGGACCCCTGTATGATCAAGATAGAGTCTCCTGTCCAATTGGTAAAATAAGGGCTAAGAAGTGGTATTAGGTTGAATTAAAGGAGACAAAAGAGGGATAATCTCTTGCATACTTGAATTCATGGTCAGCAATTCATATCCGATGCATAGTAGAATCTATGCGGGAGCGAGAGGGCAGGATTGGACTGTAAACACAGTTCCCAAATTGTTCTTGATTTAGAAGTGATGCAGCCCCGGGTGGAGTCCTGTTCTTATTCCCAACCCTGTGGCACAACCTCTAGTGAGGCAGGGTTGTCAGCCACAGCCTCCGGGACCCGACCCTCCCCTTCCAATGGAACTTTGCTGGGTTCACAGGCAGGGCTTCCTGACACAGCCTGAGGGAGAACACAGAGCATTGCTGTGAAATTTTCCTTTTGCTGCTGTGGTAACATTCCATTTTTTAGAACCCTTTTTCTTCAAAACATAGATATCCTAACTGCTAGGAAAATGAAAAGACAAGTCACAGACTGAGAGAAAATATTTATAAAACATATATATGATAAAGGACTGGTATCCAAAATGTACAAAGAATT